GCCTATAGATGAAGAGAATGTGATGCTGTCCTTACGCCATCTGTGCTTCGCGTTTGTCGCACTAGGGATTGGATTGGCACTGTCCACGATTGTATTCCTTATTGAACTTGGATTAGGTTGGTACCGCAACCAGCAAGTAGCTATGTAAGTGCATAACAGGTGTGTTTCGAAAGCTTTCGTTTAATGTCTAAAAATGTGGACTTTTTTGCTCCGAAAGCCGAATCGACATAAATATTTCGATGGCCAGAAATGACAACTCAACTTTTTTTTTTTTTTTTTTTTAAGGCTCGACTGCTATGGTCATTTGCCTTTATTTGTAAACTAATCACTGTCACTATTTCCCTTTAGATTCTTTTTATTAGCCCCGTTATTTTTAAATATTCCATTAAAGTTTCTATTGCATGCTTCTCATCACGAAAAATTTCTCGTTCCGTTTCTGGTATACCTACTTGCATTCTCTGTCTGTTATACGTTGGGCATTCACAAAGAACATGTCTGACACTCAAATAGATATCACATTCGTTGCATTTCTGTTGTTGGCTCTTTTTCTAATAAATGTAAATGTGTTAAGTTCGTGTGACCGATTCTTATTCTTGATAATGCAACTTGTTCTCTTCTACTTCCATAGCACTTATTTTCCCATGGGATAATGGTTGGCTTGATTTCCTTTAGGTGAGTATCTACATTATTCCATTCGCTCTGCCATGTGTCTTTCAACGATTGTTTGATACACCCTTTCAAATCATCTGGTCTTACGGGGATGTCATTAAGGTAAGTACCTCTCGACGCTTCTTGTGCTGCTTTGTCAACTACCATGTTACCAACGATTCCGGCATGTCCTGGTATCCAGACGAAAATGGTTCTAATACGCCTTTCTTGTAAATGATGCTGTATGGCGCTTATGTTGTTAATTAGTGGATCTTTTTTATCTTTTATGTTTGAAATTCGTTTGATGGCACTCAATGAATCCGAAAATATGATGTATTTGTTTCCATGGCTATGAGAACACAACAATAACGCATGCCAGATTGCGTAAAGTTCGGCCGTAAATACACTTGCTTGTTTATGTAAAGTCCAGGAGTATGTTTTTCCGTAGGTATGAATGGCACTGCCAGTACCTATTGTCGTTTTAGATCCATCTGTATATTGCTCGGAAATCATAAAATTTGTTACGAATTTCATAAAATGAAGTTTGATATACTTTATTTGGTGTAGTATTCTTAGGAAATCTTTCAAGGCTTAGTATAATATCATCCTGCCTGATTACCCATGGTGGGTATTCCGAAATATGTTGTTGGAATACATCAGGTTGATTAGGGATATTTGTATCCATAAAGTATATGGCCCTAACAATACTTGGTTGGCACATGGTAGGTCTTGCATGAAATAATCTGGCAGTATCTAGGTCTTGCGTGATTTGGTAGTTCAAATGTTCTGGGAGCGATAAAACTTTCAGGTAATAGTTAGTAAGGATCTTTTTCCTTCTCAGATACAAAGGAGGGATACCAGATTCTACATGTAGCGATGAATGCGGACTCGTTCTAAAAGCACCTAGTACCACCTTAAGACCGTTTGCATGAATTCTATCTAATAATTTCAGATGTGATGGTCGAGCCGAGGCGTAAATGATGCATCCATAATCGTAGATAGGTAGTATGTACGTTTTATACAGCAGCAACAGTGTATTTGTTTCAGCGCCCCAATTTATATTAGCGATACATTTAATGATATTTAGCCGTCTTTTGCACTTTGCACTAAGATATTCAATGTGGTCCCTAAAGTACATTCCCCTATCAAAAATCATTCCCAGAAGGTTTATTGTGTTTTTGATTTGAATCCGTTTTCCTTTAATAAATAGTTGTGGTTCAGCGTGTTCTGTTCTCAATCGGCAGAAGTGAATACCCGCTGTCTTTTCTCTAGAGAAAGTAAGTTTTCTACCTTCAGCCAACGTCACGACGTTATCTATTACTTCTTGTATTCGACCTTCCAATTCCACCATTGAACTTGAACTGCTAAATATCACTAAATCGTCTACGTAGAGTACCTTATGTACAGTATCTGGAATGGAGTTAATTATGTCGTTAATTCCAATGAGAAAAAGCGTTACACTTAGGACAGACCCCTGGGGTATACCATTCTCCAATTTACATAATGTAGATTCTACCTGATTTAGCCTAACTGTAATATATCTCTTTTCCAAAAAAGATAGAATAAAGTTTGCCAGGTTGCCTCCACACTTCCATTGACGCAACTTTTCGATTATACTGTGGCGGCACATGGTGTCATATGCCTTAGAAATATCAAAAGACACTGCAACCGTATGTTGTCTCTTAGCAAAGCCTTTAAAGACTTCGTGTTGTAGGTTTACTAACTGGTCGATTGTAGAGTGAAACCTCATTACATTTTTGATTTTACGTGTCCGTGTGCCCGTGGAAAATTTTCTACGCCTCACACGAGAAACCATGCAAACACGGAAATAGTAATTATTTACATTATTAGTGTGGGAACAGTTATTTTGCAGATGAGCGCGAAGTTTGGCGGCGCGAGTGCGCAACGCGCACGAGCGACGCATGTCGCGCGAATCAAGCAAATACTGTTCACGCACGTAACATGTATTCTATTTTTTGCACGGATTAGTTAAATCGAATTTATATAAATTCAAATCCTTTTCGCGAGATTTTTGCGACATTATAATTCTTTTGAAAAAATCAAGTCCTCTATGCCGATAAAGTAGAAATCTAGAAATTTAAAATGTCAATTTATTGTCAAAACTTCTGGTTTAAGCTTATTTTTGCCCCTGTACTACAGGGAATGATGTAAAGTGTATTTATATTTTCTTTTTTACTCTTCCATCATACTACTTTTTAGTTTATGATCCGCACTAAATAGATAATTTCGTTGAATTTTTAGGCACTAGTGCGCGAAAGTAGATAGTCAATTGTAAAATTGAGGTGTTTATTTGGGAAAACGCGATTTAGAACGAAGGAGTGCAAAAAAGCATTTCTGGATGTGTAGAGAACGCTATTTAGTCCAGCGTCAGAGACCCAAAAGCAGGTCAATAAGGAAAAAATTTTTAATAAGCTAATTTTTGTTTTAATTAAACCCTTCATTTGGATGTAAATAATATGTGGTAGAAAATTAATCCTCCAACTACGATCGGAACAAGACAATTTTTATTGTGTGTCAACTTTTTTTTGCAACTGTCAAAAAAACCTGTCATTTTCTGACGAATTTCGAAACGCGAAGTACTAGATTTTTAAACGGTTAATTAATAAGTAAGGTTGCTCTTGACAACGTGCGCGAAATCGTCAACAGTGAAAAAAAGTATTTCGCGCACGTGACAAAGTTGAACTTAAACAGCAAATTTAATTAACAATCGGTTCAGTTGTAGAAAAAATATTGTATATAACGCTAGCGCGAAGATATTTCGCGCATTTGACTGATATTTTGACCCGGCTTCGCCTCGTCAAAATACCTTCAGTCTCAATGCGCGAAATTGAACTTCGCGTTCTTGTTATATAAATAACTATTTTATTATACCTGAATCACAATCTCCGTTTTAAACACTCAAATGCGTGCGAAAAAAGGCCTTTTAAACACACGTGCTTTAAAGTTGCTAAGCAATGATACTTCAAGTATGACTTTTGAAACTGTCATCTGGGTGAAATAAAAAATCCTCTTAGGTCGTTTTCTGTAAATGCAGAACATTTCTTTGGTTTGTACCTATCCTTTGCTTGAAGCTTTCACAAACGCGCGTAATTTAGGGTATGCTTCCAAATCTGTTCCACTTTTTAATCACAGCATTGTTTGAAGTTTTGAATGAATGCACCAAAAGATAGAAGATTTAAATACCTTTGACATTTCTTTCATATATGCAAGCATTATCGATGCATTTAAGACTTTGTTCGTAAATGCTTCCTATTCATCCACTCTCAAACGTGTTTCACTTAAATCTGATTTCTATAGGCAAATCGATCCTGAGAAGAAAATGTGGCATAACTTATTGTAGCCAATTTAACAAGAAACAAAGAAGTACTGAACAATTTTTATAGTTCGACTGGTACCTATTTATCGAGATAATTTCAAAAAATCATAAAAATTTACCTTTCCATTTGTCTAAACAAATGTTCCGGTGGGAATTGGAGGATTATTTTTTAACACTTATTATTTACATTTACAATCTGAAGAAAAGATTAAAACAACAATTGGTTTGTTAAAAATTTTTTCCTTATCGAAACGTCTGTCGCCTGGACTAATTTTTATGATACTTCTTTGAAATCAATAACATAAAAAACAAGAACTTTTTATTTTATAAGTTATAACAATATAATAGATGCGTTTTCATAGTTACTTTCAAATGCTGTTTAATTACTCAACTCAGATCAGATAAGGTTGACGAAACGTGAAAAAAAAAATGCAAAAGATCAAAGAAAATTATCTAAATATTCAAACATTTACAAATTAAAATACAAACTAGGTACCTGGTACATGTCAAATATTATATCTGAAATTTAGTTTGCTGTATTTCTATTTTAAAGTCATATATTGGAAAGAACTAAAGGGATGGGCAAACTAAGATTCTTCTAAATTTAATTAAGGAAATTGAAGGGACGAACGAAGAACGATTTTGACATTTTCGGCTTATTGAAAGAGGCGTTATAGTCCACACAATGCTTAGAAAGGGAGTTTTGTTCGGTAGTAAAGAGGACCAAAACATATTTTTTCCCAAATAAACCGGTGACGAAATTGTTTCGTTTGGGAAATTTGTGTTTTTCTTTATTTGAATGCATAATGTTCATTTATATTCATAGCAAGCCATAATACCAGTATTTTTGCATGATGTGATGTTTCAGTTACAATGTTTTAAATATTTATAATTTCCACCACAACTTTTTCACAGACTTCAATGAATTTTAAAAGGGCCACTAAAGTTTGGTAATAATGGTAATTAATATCTAATAATTTTGATTTTCCCTGCCGTTTTGTGTCCGTCCTTGTATGTACTTACTTAGTGCGCACGCAAAATGTTCGTGGAAGGAGGAAATGTGTCGTGAAGAAAACAAGTTCCAATTTTGCTGCTTGCTAATAAAAATTTTACTGTCGTGTCGTGCCAAACTTCAACTCTAAAAACCTAAACTTCACAATAGAAGAATAAAAAAAATTCAGTCACTGTTCTGCTCAACCAACCAACGGCGCTGTAAGTACTCCTTACTTTATTTTTTGTTCCGTAATTCTCATGTGCGTTATTATAATCGCCCTACAAACCAAAAAAGATAAACTCGCCGCCGCTGAATTTATTTAAATACCTGAGATCCGTATTTCAATTTTTTTGAGTTTTTTATTTATTTTTATTTCTTTCTGATAACAAAAATGTAGGAAGGTCCGTCAATGAATGCGTTTAAGATTTGCTCTAATCATTTTCTTTGATGCTACTACAGGACTAGTGTGGAAACAACCAAAATTAAGAGAGAAATTGATTTTTACCGCATTTTTTTAAGAATTAAAAAAATGTGCTATTGTTTGCGTTTTGTCCGTCCTGACCCACTTCTGCCATTTTTAACTACTTCTAGGGGAATGGTCATAGAGTCCTGGAATTTTTTGCAGTAGGTAGCCTATACCTTGAAGGTGTGCTAGACGGCCATCAAATTTCGCTGGTTTAAAAGGGGGCTCCCCACGAATTATTTCCTGAGACGCTATTTTTGAAAGTGAAACGTGCATCACTTTTACTTACGGTAACCAATTGGTCTCAGATTTGGACTCTTTTTCGAGATAAGTGGGTGACGGGGCCTAGGGGGGGGATTGTTAGAAATTAATTTTATCTTTCATGGTATTCTAATTATTAAAGGTTCCAACGAAAGGAACCGTTTTCGACCAACTACTGCCCTTATTTCTGTCCTTTTCTCAAAAGACGGGGGGGAGGGGGGAGTGGAACTGGTTTAATTCTTCATGGTATTCTAATGAAAGGTCTCAACGAAAGGAATTTCTTTCGACCCCTTATCGTGATCGGATATATTCCCCTTATATCTCCAGAACTGATTGTCGGAAGAGAGTACTCACAAAAGGCAATTGGGACATCTGAAAGAAATATATCCATTATTGATGTCAAAACTTTAAGAGCGAACATCTCGAAAACGGTTTGTCGGAGGAAAGTACTCTCAAAGTCACAATTTGCAGAATGTAGTGTCGGAGGATTTTGAAAATATGCCAGGCGGTCTTTAAATGTTTATGTGTACAGGTCCCCCTCCCCTTATAACCCAACCATTTACTAAACTATTTCGGTTTAAAAAATTGCTTTTTATCTGCACAAGAGTTGTGCACAATTTACACTTGTTTTGTATTGTGTAGTACAATTGAACAAAATCTGTTAATTTAAAAGTATAGAACAATTTAACGGAAAAATTGCTTCATTAAGGTGTGCTATTTTCAGAGACACATTTATTGTGGTGTCACAAGGGTTAACTTCTGTGTAATGACGTGATTGATTCACGGTCATCCTTTTCTCCACTGTCTTGTGTTCTATGTAAGTTGTTTACTTTCGTATAGGTATAGTGTTGAAAATACATTTCTTCTAATACGTGCGTTTGACATTTTTAGATGTTATATGGTTCTTATCTTTAAATATATTTACATATTTTATAATCAAAGGTTCTTATTATATTAATTATATTCTATTTGTTACATTCGGAATTGAAAGAAACGAGATACATTTTCCAAGAATTGTGTTATTTTAAATTAAAAAAAAACATATACTGTATAACTCCTTGTAATGCTATTATCTTTCATCAAGCAAGTTAATTTTTGATTATCACAACGTCCACACTGTTACAGGGACATAGTGTGTTTAATTTATGTTCTCACTAGAATATGATTTATTTGTCTTGTCGTTTTTATTGTACTTGAACTGTTAATTAAACGTATTGTGTACATTTCATTTGTGTATCTATTGATTATTTAGTAATCGCCTTCGTTGCAATAAGACCTAACCTTGACGGCAACAATTTGGCTTCCAACCAGTGGGGTTAGAAAAATTCAAGACGTCACCCACAACAAGAAGCAGCGACATACTGAAGGAATTGATCCATCGTTTAGCATAAACCATCGAGGAATTCCTCTATGGAACAAACCTATCGACAAACAAAATGTTTGGACTTGAACTATGTTTGTTTGAGGTTATTGAAGAGATTAAATTTTATACTAATGTACAGTATCACATATTATCTAATCAATAACGAAATGATAAGAATAAAAGAACTTTGACAGGTTTAGTGCACCGCAGCCGATCAAAGATGCCATACGTTTGTGCCGATTACAGCAAATACAAATTCGTGAATGTCTGTTGGAACTCGGAAAATGGAATTGCGACTGTTACGTTAAAGCGACCTCCCGTAAATAGTTTGACGGCTGAATTCCTTAGGGAATTATCGAGTTTACTTCTAGATTTAGAGAAGGACGAAACGCAAGGTCTAATTTTCACATCGGTATGTGATCACAGAGTTGCCAAGCTCATAATATTTGTAACTTGTAGGAGTTTGATGAGAAGGTCTTTTCCGCGGGACTGGACTTTAAAGAGTTGTATCGGCCCTCCATCGACCATGCAAAGGAGTTCATGTCACTATTGCACAGTTTCAGCTTTAGGCTAAGTTGTACGGCTTACCCAACCGTTGCAGTAATCAACGTGAGGACCATATTTAACGTAAATATTTGCTAGGGTTTGATTTAGGGACACGCGCCTGCCGGTGGATGTATCATTCCCCTGTGTTGTGAGTACAGAATCGGTTTGAATAATTTCAATATTGGACTTAATGAGTTAAAATTCGGAATCTTATTGCCCGATTGGCTTTCTTCTTTAATGATCCATACTATTGGTTCGAGGAACGCTGAGCAGGCAATACTCTCGGGAACACTCTTCTCTTCAGAACATGCTTTGAGGATTGGTCTTGTTGACGAAATTGCTCCCACTAAGGAAGTTGCATTAGAAAAAGCTACCGCTTTTTTAAACAAAGCAAAAATCGTCAACCGCTCCCTAAGGTTGGACGCAAAGTTACACTTAAGGCGTCCGATCCTACAGGTACGACTAATTTAAACTGATGGTTCGCTGAATTAATACTTCTTTATGGTTTTAGGAATTTCAAAAAGACATAGAAAACGAGCTAGCCAAAAACGTTTCGCTTTTGATGAGTGACAAGGTACAACAATCGCTCGATGCCCATATTAAAATCTTGAAAGAAAAACGAGGAAACTGACACGTTTTGTTTATGTTTCTTAGTGTAATGTAATAAATGTTTTCAATATTAAACAAAACCAAGTCGGTTGGGGCAATAGACTACGAATCTCAAGAGGAGCAGGGTTTGATCCCCGGTTCGCCAGATCATCTTTGGTGTCTGCCTTTGTGTCCGTGGAGATAATGATAGGCGACTAAAGAACGGGTTTTGGCCAAATTTGCCCCATTACAGATGCACATAAAAGGGAGACTATGGTTATTATACAAATCTTCCATTTCAAAAGTAACCATCCATTGTAATTTATGGTAAACGTTTCACTTCGCGCATAATTGCATTCCGGTGCGGTGCATGCGGCAAAACATGAAATTTAATTTCTCGGCTTATCGCTGATAGCCCTACGACTATCTCCCGTGGACGCGTCCCCACCTTTTCAATTTTCCAAATACACCTTCAAAATGGTAGTAATCCGTTCCAGCGCCCATTTTAATTCGCTTTACCAATAAACTTGATCTCCCTTCACCAATCCCATGTTTAGGAAAGCAATTACTAGATACCTGGACCAGAACCCTTAGCTGTAACGGATCACGAGTACTTCTGCTCCAGCCTACTCCTGGTTAATCCTTATACATCTTAATTAAATTGGGGGTGGTTATTGTTATGTAAGTTATTATGTCATGTACTCCGGCTCGCTGTCAGTCAGTCAAAATCCTCTTCTGGTCCCTGGAAAAGGGTAAAGGGATAAATAATAAGTCAATAATATTTATTAAAGTATGAAATGGTTTTTATTTTCTTTAAAGTATATCTTTGCTGAAATAGAATAGCAGATTAGTAAATGGTATTTGAGGCGGAACGACCCTGTAAAGCAAATGAGTTGTAACAGTATTTCTGTACAGGTTAAGTAAAGTTCATTATTACGTAATTAAAATGTAAAGTCTAAATGTAATCATGACTCCCAAGGACGAATGCCGATGAATGAGATTATTGTATGTATCAAAAGGAATGTGCATTTTAAATATAGCCGCTATGAAGCAGAAAGGAAATTAAACATCAGTAATAGTCGCGACGTACATAGAATTGCGTTCACCGTATGTAAACAATGTAAATTAGGGAGAGATTACCAAAGACGAGTATTCTCGATTAATTAATACGCGGTCCGTGCATAGTCCACCTAGAGAGTACCAAAAGAAGTCTAAGAAAAACCAGCTTACCTGTGATTGGCCTAACTGAAAATCGAATAGCAGCCCGCAGTGGGCGGTCCTAATTCCTTCGACTTCCACATCTATCGAAGAGACCAAGTTATCCTCCAAGTCCTGGTGCACCGATAAATAAACTAAAGGTATTTATAAATACTCCATAAACAATATCGCGTTGTCGTTTATCGTGCGTCGTTATTAGCCCAGTGGTAGATTTATTGCATAGTCGTTTATTTATAGAACATTAGTCTAAAGTGGTGCCATTGTAAAGGCGATTTAATTACCTACTAGTGTTTCATTCAAATCGGTGAATTAGCGAAACAGCACGAATGAAGCCTGCCATCCGTAAAAAACAACTGGTGGATGCCATTACCCGACATTTTCCCCGAGAAGTGGAACATATTTTATTTGGAGCAGAAGGTAAGACCTTTCAACAGTTGGTTAGAAAGTGGAATATCGAAAACAGATGGATCTGGACGAGAACCGAGACGGCAAGAAGACAGAACACCGGTGAATGTAGTAGGATACAGGAGAGGTCAAGGAGACTATGGACGGGGAGACGGCTGCCAAGATCAGAATAGACAACAAGAAAAATGGAGGGGGTTGAATTCATCTATCGACCAGAATCAGGAAAACTACCCAGGGACCAGGAGCTCCACTAGTCTCTCGGAAAAGACGAAGGACCCAGGGGCAAGACCAAAAACTTAGAATAAGACCAGGAATAGAAGAAGCCAGAGAAAATGGAAGAGTTGAATCAGAGACTAAAGAAACCCAAGAAATTTACGTTACAGAAGAAGAAAATTTAAGTCGACTAATTGAAGAATTGCAAGTTAATGAAGAAATAGAAATAGACGAAAGAAAAGGGATAAGAAAGATCATCCAATCCGAATTTAGTGACCAGGACGAGCAAGAAGATTGCATTTACCGACCAAAAATTTTAGAGTGTGGAGGGAGTAGAAAAGTTTTTTGAAGAAATCAGTACCGAGGAGAGAACAATAGAAGAAAGAACCAACGGAGTAGAAGAATTAGAAGAAATGGCGTGAAAATATTTAAAAAGTCAAAGGAATTAGAACGAGAACTACGACACAAAGCAATCCAACTAAAGTTTCAAGGTGAGGAAATTGCAATCATTCAAGAGATTTAGCCAAGAAAAATAGCACAAGATGTTAGATTACTTCACTGGTTTATCTAAAGTCGTTAGCTTCTTCAGTTAATCGCGTTAATAGCGTTGGCATGTCTTTTAACGAATCTCCTGGATGGAGTCGCACATCCAAGGCACTTCGTGGCGCAACCGGGTAGACCGCTTTAGTCTGTCGGCCTCGGAGTCTTACACTACTTTTTGGGCTTTAGGTAGCGAACATTGAGCTGATCCCGACGTGCGACGTTCCGAAGTGGACTTTCAATTTCTTGAATAGCAAAGCGAGGTCCTTTTTAGCGCTATTGTGGCCACTTTGTCCGTCCGTCCGTCCGTCCGTCCGCTCGTTTTGAGACGCTACTAGTTTTTTATCTTAAGAGCTATTGTTCTACTTTTTTCGCTATTTGGTTCGTTATGGTGTCGAGTCTTGCATCAAGGAAGGAATTTTTTCTGTACCGCTTACAAAAAAAGTTACCTATTGTAAAAAAAACAAAAAACCGTTTTTTACATGTTCCACAATTTTACACTTTTGCCGTTTATTAACGATCCTAGAGATCGTTTATAATTTTGCATTGCTGTCTGCCGTCTGCCTGTTAGTCTGTCCGTCTGTTCCTTTGTCTGTCTGTCCCTCTATCTATCCGTGTGAACGATAACTTTGTTTAGAAATGTCCGAATGCTTTTACATCTCCGTTAGTTATGAACTGAATTGCATGAAATTCAATATGGGCATAGCTTTAGCGATATAATACGCAATGCCAAAAGTTGAGTCGAATCGATTCAAAATTCACAGTGCCCTTTTCGCATCTCGACCATTTATAAACCGAATTACAAACTTTTTTAATTATAAAAATATTTAAATGAAATTTGCTACATAGCCACTTGGAATAAAAGCAAATTTAACGCCAGTTTCAAAATTTGGTTTTGCGCATGCGCAGTGCCAACTTTTTTAGTTATGGAGGCATTTAGATGAAATTTTATACATAGGCACTTGGAATAAAGGAAAAGCTAATGCCAGTTTCAAAATTTAGGTTTGCGCATGCGCAGTTCCAACTTTCTTATTTAGAAAAGCATTGAAATGAAACTCTTCTTATAAACAGAAATTGAAGTAGCACGTCAAAAATGGATTGCACATGTGCAACGCTATCTTTCATATTTGTGGCCGGATTTTTACAATTTTAACAAAAGTTGCATCTTACAAATAGAAAATGAATGCAAGTGGAAATGCGCTTTATGTAAATCGTTTACGATTACTTTTTAACTTATTCTCCTTGTCGCTAAGCAGTGGCAAAAGGTTCACTGCTGATCCCTGTAGCGACCCCTGTCCAACCATTCGGTTTGATCTTGAAGTAGGACATACACTGTTTTCCCAACCACGTGTGACGTGCCCGTTGTAAACGGGATCGTTTTGTCCTGATCGGCACGACTGCGTTGAAGAATTTTGCGCAGGAAGCGCCTGAGATTTCATCCATTTGACCGTCCAATCGGAGAGCTACTAATGTTGTCATGAAAGAAGTGGCAGCTAGTACAATTAAGAGCTTTATTTGGTAAGTTTGTTTAATCTTTTAAGAATAAAACATACTTTTAACTAAGTGATTTAATATATGGTATTAAGAATAGAAGCGAAATAGAAATAACTATATCCCATAAGTGCAACTATTACTACTATTGGACATATGTAAAGAGATTAATTGACTGCAGGAATATCGCGTAGTGTACCAGTTTTTAGAGCTTTTAGTTTCTCTGTTACTACAGGATCCTTCAAAAATTCGTAAGCGACATTTAAGTCCTCTTCTTGATTATTCTTTAGGCGCTAAAACTTAATGATCGTTTACTCTACTTTCTCACTCTGTCTAAATACCTTAATGTAAGGTGCCCTCAAGGAATTTTTACCATAAGCATAACACTTGGGGGTGATATTCTTAAACTTGTCCAAGAACCTTAAAGCTTCTTGCATACCTTCCTCTTCGCATCCGACGGCGCAGTCAATCAATCCGATTTTTAACGCTTTGTCGGTGGTAAACAACTTACCAAGTCCTAGTATGTCGATGGCCAATAGTGTTCAGCATAGTGGACGTGAACCAGGTTGGAGGAACTAAACCTACCTGTTGTTCGTTTAGCCCGATCACGTGGCCTTTTACCATTACACGATAATCGCACGACAATGCCAGTAAGCATCCGGTCGCCATTGCAGATCCCTGAAATATAAAACTACCTCATGGTACAATTCCACCACTTTCCAACATACATTGATCAGCGCGACTGTCGGAAAGGAACTGCCATAGAGTTGCATCCACCGATTCTGGGCGACGGTATAAAAACTTCTGAACCGCATCGGTTCCGGATCACACAGTTCGCTTATTTCGAAACCAAACGAAAAAACTTGATCGGAGGACTGAAAGTTTCGAGATACCACATGGATCAAACAATTAAGTTATGCTTACAGAGGTAAAAACCACCCCTGGGCACATATCCCTTTCTAGACCGCGCAGAACGTTTGAGAATTCAGTTAGAAATTCCAAATTCAGCACATTTAGGGGTGGTCTGTTTAAGTTTGCGGTAACGATGTCGTTGCTATCATTCGCAAATGGCAATGGTGAGACATTCTAATGGGCAATTATGACTCATAGCGTACAATCAGAACCAGAGTGTATTCGCCAGAACAAAAGATGTAGGTACCTACTTTCAACTTTTCAAGTATATACAAAGTGTACAGAGGTTATCCTTATCATCTTGTAGCTTTTATGTGACCTTCATTTAAAATTAAGTTATATACGTTTTGTTTATTCGCATTATTGTACCATTACAACATTTGATATCACAAAACAGACCTTTGTGCAAGTCATTGTTCGTATATTTTATATCTTTTTGTTGATATATTTCCAATACAAGATTAGCATTAGTTATTCGTGCCTATTTTTTCGGATTTTGCAAATTTCCGTCATAATTGGGTATTAATAAATCAATTGATAGTATTTTACATTTATAGCATGGTAAATGGATTCTTACTGGCGAACCTATAAATTAATCCAGTAAAAACTGCTACTCTGCGTAAAATGTATATTTGATCTGTTACTCACGTCTGGAAAATATTACAGATACATTAGTTATGAATGTTAGCAAATACGTCCATAAAACGAATATTAAATGTGCGCCGAAAACATTCCAACCATTTAAATCTGCGAGATGAAATGGAATTTTCCCAATAATAGGCTCCAATGCTGCGTTAATTATATGATAAACCTGAAAAAGAAAATTGGAAAACGATGTAAGCAAGTATAAATTGTGCACAACTCTTGTGCAGATAAAGCGCCATTTTTTTTAAACCGAAATAGCTTAGTGAATGATTGTTACCATTCTTCCTGCATTGAGCGGGATTGTCCCGTTTTCAAATCTACAATCCCTCAAACTCCTTGTTCCGCAAAATGTCCCGGATTGGTCTTATGTTATGCGGAATTCGAGTAAGAGTAAGGTCAGAAGCAAATTTTCTTGCAAGACTTGCAGAATTCTCATGCTGTAGACTTGGTTTATAGTCCGTCGGGTACATGGCTAGAATGGGGAAAATACTGCACTTTTTGATTGGAATATGGCACTTTCTGTGGTAATAGTTAATACCAAAAGGCAACTTTTGAGATAGGGAGCCACTCGAAAATCCGTGCAGGAAACCAAAATGGTGGCCATCAAGATGGCGCCATTAGCCGCAATATATTTTTTTGTATCTCTGCTCCTAATAGTCCGATTTTAATTTTCTTTTTTTGATTGAAAGCTCTTGTGACGAGGAAACTTTTTTGCTATATAACATTTATCTCTAAAACTTACGGATTTAGCACAATTTTAAAAAAAGTGCTTTTTTACGAATTTGAATCACAAGTAAGCTCTTAATTGTATAATATCCCGGTCTTTTCGACAAAAAAGGCCATCGTTTAAAAATGCAATCGATACAACCCCAAAACTCTTTGTATCTACTCTGCAAGTTCGGAAAATTTCAATCCGCCATGTTTTTTTTTTTTGAAAAAATGCGCAATATTTGTTTCATCAAGATCAAGCATTATGAAAATTGAAAGGAAAAGCTTCGTCAATTTTTTTCTCTGAAAAACAGAAAATACACTCTGCTTTTAAAGTAATTAAAGAAACACTCAGTATATCAACTTTAACTCTTACTCTCGCTCTTACTTATCCTATTTTATTTAACTAGTTGGTTTAAGATACGACGAATGTGCAATTTGGAGTGCTTATTTATCAGATCATGGGTTTTTTCTAGGGTTATCTCTCGGGTTTTCTTTAAGAATATTAACGGAATATTATGATTTCCAAGTTTTAGATACCTATTCATATAAGTGGAATCATTTTTATTATACAGGGAAGCCACCTTCTGTAAGCGGACGATAGAGCCTCAATGGTTGAGATTAATGGTAACAGTTTGTTGGTACGAGAAGCCTGAGGGGAAGCCTAAAACGTATTTTTAGGTATATAGGGTGTTCTCGAGGGCAGCCTATACATTTTGATATTTTTTATAGGTATCCCCGGGTATCCCTTTACAAAAGAATTATTTTTGTAGGTCTTATCGGTTTTTGTCGTAATGCTAACCGAGAGGCTAACCGTTTTCCGCATATGCTTTTTATACAGGGCGAAAATTGTATCTTCAAAACATTTTTTAAAGAAGCTTTTTATGACATCCATAATTATAAAAAGTTTGCTACCAATCCATGTACATTCAATTTGGGGTCAGTAGCATACTTCTGCAAGGTCAAAGGGGGATACTGTTTTTAAATAGTTAGCAACCACTTTTTTCTTGACGTAGTGAATTATTTGTCGATACAAATTGATGCAATAAAACTCGTTTTTCAAATAATTGAATTTTAATACTTCTTTAGCTAATCGACTTCGAATCGTATAGACCGATTCATCATCAGACCTTAAGAGTCAGAATATTGTGCTCAATAATACAAATCCTTACGTATTAACATTTTGCTTTTAAGATTACCTCCCTCAGAGAGACCGTTTTCGAGATATTCGCTGTTAAAGTTTAGACATCGCCAATGGATATATTTCTTCCCGACGGCCCAATCACCCTTTGTGAGTACCCTCTTCAGACAATCCGTTCTGGAGGTATAAAGGAATATATCGGATTACGATAAGGAGTCGAGGCGGAGGACTATGGGTGGTAGAAAGAAATTCCTTTGGTTGAGACCTTTCATTAGAGGACCATGAAGGTTAAAATTAATTTTAATTAAAAACAGCGTGTAATTCATGCCCCCCCCCCCCCTAATAAGACAGCGAAATTTTATGGTCGTCTGGCACACCTTCAAGGTTTTTTTAATTTTAAAAAAAATGCGCTAAAAATTCTAATACTTCCGGAAGGTCTACAAGAATACAAAAAATAAAAATAGGGGTTATCCAAGGGGCCCGGCACTATAAAATATAATGAATAAACAAAGAGAAGTGAAATTCTGAAAAATGTGATTAATCGGAAGAACCTAATTAACCTGGTAGAGTCCGAATAAACCGAAGAATCTGAAATATCCGAACATTTCGAAGAACAAAAAATCCGAACAATACGATGAAATATGATGAGGTGTCCGTAGAATCCGAACCATCCATAATGAATCAAAAAAATTGGAAGATTCTGAAAAATCCGAAGTAGAATCTGAAGAATCTGAGGAATCTGAGAAATCAGAGGAATCTGAGGAATCTTAAGAATTTGAAGAATGTGAAGAACCGAAAAATCCGAAGAATCTGAAGGATTTGAAGAATCCGGAAAATCCGAAGAATGCGAAGAATTTGAAGAATCCGACCAATCCGATGAAATCGATGAATCCGACGAATCCGAACTTAAAGAATGATGATGAGGTTGTGAAAAATGTGACCGATCTAGCTACCGCAGATACCACTACACCTGCGAATGTGCCCAAAAGCAAAAAGATTAATAAAAAATCGAATCAGAAAAATGCGTAATGGGGGCTCCCGTTACAAAAATAAAAAATTATCGCCAATTTTGAGACGTTTTAGATCCTCGATTCGTTTGTGAAACTGGGCAATTGCCTTGTAATTTATCACCTACAACTGAAAAAATCACTGACCCACTAAACGCGCCCTGTCTATTCAACTTCACTTATTTACATGCGATAGAATAATTCTATTTACCCTAGAAAAAGGCACTTTGCTATAATAACTACCTTACGGTTACGTTAGTACGCAAACAACCTTTTTAAATGTAAAAACCATTGTATAAACAACAGGATAAAAACAAGTCATCGAGTATTTAATGTTCAAAGGTTAGACTCTATAGCTATTGATGTAACGAGAGTATTATACGATCTGTAATAGGCGAGAGTTTAAATCCCAAATAAATTAAACAAATATAGCAAACGAGCTCCTGGGTGTGGCTATAGCATGTGCAAAACCAATTTTAAACCTGATGTTAGTTTTGCTTTTATTTAAAGTGTATATGTATGAAATTTCATTTGAATGCCTCCATAAATAAGAAAGTTGGCACTGCGCATGCGCAAAACCAAATTTTGAAATTGCCGTTAAATTTGCTTTTATTCCAAGTGGCTATGTTTCAAATTTCATTTAAATACCTTCATAAATAAGAAAGTTTGCAATTCGGTCTGTAAATGGTCGAGATGCGCAAAGGGCACTGCGAATGCTGATCGATTAGGCTCAACTTTTGGAATTGTGTTTTATGTGGCTAAAGTTATGCGCATATTGAATTTCATGCAATTCGGTTCATAACTAACGGAGATGTCAAAAGGGCCTACTTTATTTTTTGGGCTACATTGCCAATTCACGAACTCCGATCTAAAAATTTGATAAACAATCCACCTGCAAAATTTCATTGTAATCGGTCTATTCGTTTATGAGTTATCGTGCTAACGGACGGACGGACGGACGGACAGGCACCGCAAAATTATAAACTCTATAGGAGCTCGTTACTAATCGAGTTATATTCAAAGCTTTATCATACCGTTGACAAAGGCAATAAAAGCCATATTTGTTAGAATCAAAATAAACTTGAAAAAGTGGCATTTTCAATTGGAATCTGAGGTGCAGTTGGCCAAGATGACAATTGACGATGTTGGCATTTTGGTGTCCATTTCTATAACGTATTATGAGTAACTAACGTATTATGAGGTACATAATTGTACTCAAAGTTATAATATAAAGTAGATAAAATTGTCCATGATTGAAAAAAATCACAGACCCTAAATGGGCCCTGTCTATTCACCTTCACCTATTTACATGCGATAAAATCATTGTATTTACCGTAGAAAAAGGCACTTTACTATAATAATACCTTACGTTAGTACGCAAACAACCTTTCGAAATGTAAATGTAAATATCATTGTATAAACAACAGGATAAAAACAAGTAATCGATGAAATAATTTTCGAAGGATATTCAGCTTCTAAAGCTTTTATTGTGTACTCGTGTAGTGTCAAGTTTGTAGTGATGGTGCTAACAAAGGTCTGTTTCTTATTGCACCTCTCTCACTTTATAATAATAATAATTTTTTTTTTTTATTTTTTTTTATTTTTTATCTTTTTTTTTTGATAGCGTTAGATATTGTGGCCATAAATAGTTGTTTTGGTAAGTTGAATTACATATCTACTATTCCTATATTTCCTTAATGTGTGTGAGAGGGTGTGTGTGTGTGTTTTTTTTTAAATATATATATTTTAATTTAATTACTATTATTTATAAAATTATAAAATTTAGGACACGACAAGACCAGACGAACGGCGTACAGACAAACACTAATCGTTACTTGATTTTAATCCGTGCGATTAGTTAACCAGGCTAGACCAGAGTTTTGACAATAGAAACACCGACCATAATACATAATAATAATTCATTTATTCATTCATTCATTTATTTGTCGTAGTTTTACAATAATATGCGGTCCCACTAAGTCTCAGATTTATCAGTAGGTTCCGAACATACCTAAATAAAAAATGAACATTGGTATAAATATTCCTACCCTGTGTCCATTCAATCACATATTGATCTGACTTTGTATTACCGCTTCACACATTTGCATAATATATTATTATGGGCGATAACAGCACTGCATCATCCGCGAACATACATAACTCGCACCTTTCAATTACTTCTGGAAGGTCATTCACGTATATCAGGAAAAGAATTGGACCTAATATACTCCCTTGTGGCACACCAAAATCGCATGGCTTCGGTTCGCTGCATACCTTCACGATGTTATACCTGGTTGCAAGATAAGTTTTCATCCACTGCAGTTGTTTCCCAATTATTCCGCATGTTTCCAGTTTTTTGAGCAGTAACACGTGATCGATTGTATCGAACGCTTTGACAAAATCAATAAAGACTGCAATAGTATATCTTCCTTTGTCCATGTTGGTGTTTATATAATCGTTAACCGTGTTTTGGAGTTGCTCCGTACTTTTTCCTCTCTAGAATCCATATTGCTTGCTATTTATGATGACATTGTCCTCCAAGTACTTCCTTAGGTGACGGACTACGTACCTATGTCTCAAAAACTACTACTTGATTATATCAAGTCGTTTTGATTACCTACTGTCGAAAATGATGAAATAACAACAAATGTAAAATTTTTTCGAGACAACTGTTTTAGAATTTTAGAGCAAATTACTAGCATTGATTATAGTATATAATCAATGTTACTAGCAAGTATGTGGGTACCTAAAACACTCGTAGTACTTGCTCCTTGCTATTTTCAAACAAAATACAGGACAGATTTTCTTGAAAACATCATTGAATTTACAACGCAGCCAAGGGACAATGTCCAATTGCGTTTTTGATTGTGTATAATAACTGTTTTATTCATCTTTATCAAAACGATTATCTTATTACTTTGACCGTCAATCTCAGTCTTACACAATTTAGATCATACCGGATCGTTAGTTAGCTACAACTTTGAGCGGTTGACAATACCAGTGCGCATTAAAATTTACGCTATGTTTTTACTGACTGCGTTTATCGGTTTTCTTGTACTATTCGTGTACTACAAACTGTATTTACCTACTCAGTTTTGGAAAAAGAAAGGAATACCATGTGTTAAACCTTGCATGATTTTTGGAAATTTAGCTCCCGCCGTTTTCAGAAAGAAAACGTTCAGCGGCATAATCCTAGAGTCCTGCAAGCAGTTTGAGTCCCATAGGTACGATTACTTTGGTGTTTTTTTTTAGATTTTGTTGGTCTGCTCTTTGGTATTGCAATTAGGTTGTACTAAAATGTCAAAATGTACCTGCTTTGCAACTCCTAGCCAGGCAAACAGTTTATTTCCCCTATTCTGGGGTTTCTAAAGTTATCTCGTACTAAATTCTTAGTTCTTACCAAAATTAGAATTGTTAAACCAAGCATATGCTTTCGCAGATATTTTGGCTTCTATCAATTTTTTGTACCGGCCCTCATCATTCAAGATATAGATTTGATTAAACAGATTTGCGTAAAAAACTTTGATTCGTTCAGCGATCGACCAGATTTCATTCCAAAGTCCGTCGATCCCTTTTGGAAGAAAACGTTACTCAATCGCGAAGGTAAGTTCTTCCACGAGTAATCGTTTTCGAAGTTGTCTTTTAAGGTAAAGACTGGCACGACATGCGGTTAGTGCTAAGTCCTGTATTCACCGGTCGTAAAATGAGAGCCATGTTTCAACTGATGTACGAGTGCTCCCAAAAACTCGCCGGGCATTTTGCAGGTGAACATGGTACGATTACTGTGGAGATGAGGGACCTATTTACAAGATTCACTAACGACGCTACCGCTACATGTTTATACGGCATACAATGCGACTCCCTAAAAGATAGACATAATGAATTTTTTCTGATGGGCGAAGAGGCTTTTGACTTTACTGGTTTCAAGTCGATACGGTTTTTTGGTTCTAAGCTGAGTCACACTCTAGTCAAGGTACGTCACGATAACGGTTCGAATGTATTAATCTTTTAGCCGCAGATTCTTGGAATAAAATTCATCGATGACAAAGTAAAACAATTTTTTGAACGTGTCACCAAAGAAACGATCGAGTACCGCCAAAGAACTGGTTTGGTGCGACCAGATATGATTCAGTTTCTAACAGAGGCGCAAAAGGGTAGACTGGAGTACGAAGAAGACGATAAAAATGAGCATTCGGGTTTTGCCGCAATCGAGGAATCGGATGTAATAAGATCCGATCGTACGAAAAGGATGCCAATTACTGATGAAGACATCGCAACTCAAGTTTTAATTTTTTTCTTTGGAAGTTACGACACCGTTTCCGTGGTACTTTGTCAACTCACATACGAATTAGTCGCGAATGCCAATGTACAACACAAATTACAAGAGGAAATTAACGCAACGTTAAAGGAGTGCAATGGCAAAATGACATACGACTCACTTATGAAGATGAAATACCTAGATATGGTTGTTTCTGGTACAAATTTGTAGTGCACATTTGACATTGTATATACTTACTTTAACTAATGTTTTCAGAAATAATGCGCTTATGGCCTCCGGCCACTGTGTTATTTAGACAGTGTGTGAAACCATTCGAGATTACTCCCGCTTTGCCACACGAGAAACCGTATACAATTCAACCAGGAGACGAAGTTCTTATTCCCAGCTACGCAATCCACAGAAATCCCCAATACTACGCCAATCCGGATAAGTTTGATCCCGAAAGGTTTAGTGATGAAAATAAGGGCAACATCGATCCTTACACCTATCAACCATTTGGCATCGGCCCGAGACACTGCATCGGTGTGTAATGTCCCACTTATAGGTAATTAACTAATTAATATATTTTTAAAGGCAATAGATTTGCGTTGATGGCGGTAAAGACTATGATACTAAGTTTGCTCGCGCGTTTCCAGATTGTGCCAGTCTCTAAGACGGTGATTCCATTTGTCCAAGCTAAAAACAACATCATTCTTCGTAGTGCGAATGATTATTGGTTTGGATTAAGACGAAGAGATAATGGTTTCTATTGATGAGGTTTCGATCGTTACCAAGAGGGGGAGGGGGTGAAAGTGGAAGGACAAAGATGCCATCTTCAGCTAGCCTTATAAATTTTAGATGGCAAAACACAATTTGTGCTTGGATATATGTATTTGGTGAATTGTAACACGGCTGATCCCGGAAGGTTTTCAAAATCGTAGAAATATTCGAACCAATGACATCATGTTAAGGTCAACGCAGTAAAACATTTTATTTGTTACTCAGTTGTAAACGTTGATTAACAAGACAAAACGCAAACGGGTAAACGTCATGTTTAAACGCTACTGACTTGTAAAACTGACAGCAGACAAAACTGACCTGTAAAAATTTTACAAGTTAGTAATCTAGCAATTTCATTGGCCAGAATTAATGCGAAGTCTCTGTTACATGGATCACATGATATTTTAGACATTTCTTCAAGATCAATTTAAGAACTAATTATTTACGTTTACTATTGTTTACAAATGAGTAACAAATAAAATATTGTACATCATACGCCAGGTAATAGTTTTTACTGGCTCTAGGAGATGACAGGCTCGCCTAACGGCTCGCCAGTCAACTTCTCCTATCGCCAGTAAAAACTCACTTACCTGGCTAATAATGTAAAATACTATTACAATACAACGCTTTCAAATAGACACTATAGCAGTACTACGGTAAAGCATCATTGGTCTATGTTCAATTTTTTGTAATGCTTTTCATAATTTTAAGAAGGTTGAATTAAAATTTACATCGTGTTTTGAATCAATTTCAGTTGATCTTGGAGATCTTGGAGATCTTATCCTCTTATTTTATCTTTCTTCATTATCAATACAGTGCAACCGCATCTTTAGTCTTTAGTACTTGTGCACGAGTCGTAATTGGGTGAATAACAAACTTATGTAGCACAAAGTATGGTAAAGATTAGCCCCACCCATTTAAGTGGTGTGCTAGAACCAAAGGTAGAAATGGATGTAGAATAATAGCACTGCAATTGAGCAACTTTGTGCGTGGTTTGTACTGCGTCATACCATAGTGGTATTTCCATAAACAAAAAATAAACTTCCGTAAAGTTATAAAGAACCCGGGAAGTCTAAAGTTTAAACACTCATTAGAATCAAAGACAACCATTTGTGGTGTAACTAATCTTCCTCAGAAACAGTACAAAAATTTCATAAGACTAAAATTATGCATCACAAACTCTTTCCCTCTCGTAAAAAAATAATGTTTTCTTTTTTTAACACTTATTCTAGATTCTAGTTAACTTTGTAACTTTGTTGTTGAATTGTTCATTCACCAAAGTGTAACTACCATACACCCCCCTTTCTCAAATTTTCCTTTTTAACTCCTGTTCTTTTAATATCCTACCTTCCGAATACAAGGCGCACTTCTTTAGTTATAGATTAACAACGTAGTGTCAATTTTTCCAAATACAGCACCATACACGAATCGCTATAATATTTATTAGATCGTCTAATTCTGCATACTCGCATTGAACAACCTCCCTAGAGAACATACTGTATCTAAATATAAATAAAACACGTAAATCGGCCAGAAATTCATATTGCGGGTTGACATCTAAAACCCGCACTAGGAATAAAGGGATACTATAAATTGAAATACAACATATTTAATTAGGAAACATAATGGAATCTTGCATATACTTCAAAATATAATCAGCATAATTATAAAAGAGCAATTTGTATCTGTAATGCGCTATAAATGACAAAGCCCACGCTGTACGGGAATGTCGTTAATTTGGCAAATAATCTTACACGGTCATATAATTACTAGATGGATGCAATAAACGTAAAGATAAAAGAAGAAAAATACAGCATCTGAATAATAACGGGTTTACCAATAAGAGCGATAGGATTTTAAATTGAAATAAAACACAGTCAATTTGGTCAAATTTAGGTTTGATTGGTTTTATTAGATGCTGTATTTCATGCCATTTATGATTTAAACAAAATATTGTTCAAATGGCCACCGCGGCTCTTTTTGCACTGGCTCATCCGATCGGACCAATTTTCGATGACTCGGTGGATCATATCGGGTGGAATGGCAGCTATGGTCGCTCGAATGTTGGCCTCGAGCTCGTCAAGAGTCTTGGGTTTATTCGCATAAACCTTTGACTTCACATAGCCCCACAAAAAGAAGTCCAATGGTGTTAAATCGCATGATCTTGGCGGCCAATTGTGGGGGCCATTTTGAGAAATCAACGATTCACCAAACTGTTGACGCAATAAGTCCATTGTAGCGTTCGCTGTGTGGCATGTTGTTGGATAATTTCCAAGCGTTGAGGCAACGTGAACTTGTTCATGATGAAATGGCAAGCCTTACTGATGACAACTGACAGCATATGTCAAATGTTTGGCATCCAACATAGCCGCCTTAAACGTTTAAAATCCTATCGTCCCTATTGGTAAACCCTTTAGTTGCGACACTCACAGTAATTCGGTACCTACTCGAAACGTAAAAATTACCCCTGTCCTCAACAAAAGAACAAATACATCTCCCCTAAAATTTCCTTTTTGGTCAAATCGAAGTCGAGACATGTAATATCGACGAGTCGTCGAGTCGATATGGATTAGATATTAAAGTAGTTAGAGCGCCTCGGTAAAAGTAACAAGAAGTTGGTGAAAATTTGGTCACTTATTCTCTGAGAGACGCACTTTCTAATGGTCAAAAGAAAAAAGTGTTCCTATGTGCCGTTTCTGAGATATTTGACAGTAAAAACAGGGTATTTTAACATGGGCTCTTATGGACAGACTCAGTTTTTCTGAGCTAGCGAAGGTTTTTGTAACAAGACTTAAACGACATGGGTCTCATTAGAAGCGAAATTTTGTGACGAATCTAAATATGCACGGAAAAGTACATGTTCATGATGAAATAAGGAAGATATTTACCGCCGAAGCGGCGTCTGTTCTGACGCGGCGGCACGCTATGCAGCACGCGTTTAAATCTGATGACTTTTCCACTAGGTCTAGTATATAGCTGAGCTAGGACAATCTTTTCCTTCTTCTGCTGAGCACTTTTCTTCACAAAAGGCATGGTGTCTTTCAGAAAGAACACCAAAACCAGCGATATTTATAAAGGCCTGCACACGTCTTGTTGACACACTGATCGGATCGAGATCAAGATAGCGGCTGGGGATCTCTGGCGCCAACATCGAAAAACCAAATCCACTACACCGACTTCACGTAAAACGCCAAATTATTTAGTTTCCCGACTTTTACATACGTCTCGCATACGTTTTGATAAAAAATAAATATATTCGTTTAGGATTTACCGCTTACACTGTGAATATTTAGTCGCGGTGTGTCGTCAACAGTTTAGTGTGCAAAGGTTTGAAACAGGGTCGAAAAGTAGGGAGACTAGTCAAGTTGAATACTGTATATACCTTTTTAAAAATCATGTAAGACGTTTGCATTGTGCTGAGTTACAAAATACCACTCATACCGTATTTCTAATTATGTTTCCTTCATAACAACATTTTTTTGGGGACGTTTACCGTAAGTAATAGGTAGGCCGAGTACATCACTTGACTTCAGCCGAACGCGCTCTAACTACTTTAATTTCCCGCTCGTGTAGCGACACAGCGTTATGTTTGGCACTTTTATTGTAAATTATGGCCCATTTGAATGTAGAGTAGAATTTTAGCGGGTAAATTCGGTTCCATAACAAGTACATTGGGACTCATGTGTTTACCAATTAAAATTTATGAAAAAATAAGATTAATTATGTGCATGTGATTGCGTTGTAAAATAAAATTAATTAAAAAACAAACTAGGATTTTTTATTATGGTTTCTATGGGCAATCGATGTGGGGTGTTATTTTACCCATCATCAGGCCGTGCTGAAATATGCATTCATGGTGCATGGTGTGGTGCCTGGTACTAGACGGGTTCCTCCGCACCTTGAACGAGGGGGGAGCGTATACACAGGGATACGCGCGATCGTCGTAACTGGGAAGTTTCCAAACACCGTGAAAGAGCTCATGCAGGGGACTCTTGAACAGGTGGATAGGTGGTGCAGTATCCAAGGCCTTTCCGTTAACCGGAAAAGACCGAGGTTGTTTCATTCACGAATAGAAGGAGAGCGGATCTTGCTGAGTTTTCTCTTCGAGGACGTCAACTGGGTCTGACCAGGTCAGTGTCATCATTGACTCCCGCCTGACCTGGAAAGGGCACATTGAGCGCATAAGCAAAAAGGCCACTTGTCTATGGGCATGTAGAAGGGCTTTTGGTTGTACATGGGGCTTGAACCCTCGACTGGTATATTGGCTTTACACTGCAGTGATAAGGCCAATAATACTGAATGGCGCACTTGTATGGTGGCCTGCCATGCGCAGGGTAACCTACAGGAAGCAGCTAGGAAAGGTTCAGCGACTCGCCTGCCTGGGAGTCACTGGAGCCCTAAAAACCACGCCAACCTTGGCCATGGAGGTACTTCTGGGACTAGAGCCTTTACACTTAGCTGTGGAGGCAGAGGCTCGGAAAGCTTCCATACGGCTAAACGATTGGGACGAATGGAAGGATCGAGGCAGCCTTGGGCACGGGCGGATCTGGGAGGAAACCCTCAGGACCGATCCCCTCCTCGCAAGGAGGGACGTGATCCGGGCTATCTTGCTAAGACCAAAGCGTTATAAAGTCATTCTCCCGGATAGGGAGCAGTGGCTGAACTCGGATTGCCCGTTCCTCAAACCTGAGGGGCTCGTGTGGTTTACAGACGGGTCCCAAACAGAAAGGGGAACGGGCATGGGTATATATGGTGATCGACCGAGAGCCAGCGTCAGCGTCTGTCTCCCTTGGTTAGCATAGCACCGTGTTTCAGGCAGAAGTGTTAGCCAACATCGGTAGACAGGTTCCGATCAGCTACGGCGCTTGATTGCAGGCGAACCCTAGATAGATTAGGTGAGTCTAATAGGGTGAGCTTGATTTGGGTGCCAGCGCACTGCGGAATAGGGGGCAACGAAAGGGCGGACGAGTTGGCTCGCGAAGGCAGTGGTGGGGTCTTCGTCGGGCCCGAGCCTACCCTAGGGATTGCTCCCTCCGTTGTTAGGGCCAGGATTAAAGATTGGTTGACCAGTCAATTCCAGGCTCAGTGGCAACAAGTAACCGGACTCCGACAGTCCAAGGCCTTTCTAACAGGGCCCCTTGGCAAATCGGGGTCTTCTAAGCTTCTAAAACTGAATAGAAGCCAGCTTAGGAAGATCACTGGTGTCCTTACGGGACACTGGATGGTCAACTATCACCTGCATAACATTGGGCTCGCGGAGGAGTCCACGTGCAGGTTCTGTGGCGAGGCAGATGAAACTACCG